GTTTATTTCTTCGGTTCACATTATATTGTGAAACATGGGAGGCCAATGATACAAAAGTAATTTCAAAAGAGTACAATCCAGGACCAATAGCCTTCACACTTATAATCTGTTTGAGGACAAATACTCCTTTGGAAAATGGTACTTAGTTACATAAACTGATGACAGTTTCTCAATTCTCATTATGGCTTAATGTCTATGTTAAGTAAAGCTTTCTCAGAAAGAGTTGAAATTCTTTTTGCTTCTTTTCAAAAGATCTCAAACAAAAGAATTTTGAGTACAGAATAAAGAATTCTTCCCGGGGACGCCAGGGTGGCTGTCGGTTAAACGTCTGCCCTCGGCTTGTCATGATCCCAGAGTCCTGGGATCGAGCCCAGCATCAGGCTCCTTGCTCCGCGGGGAGCCCGCTTCTTCCTCTCCCTCTGCTGCTCCCCCTGCTTGTGCTGTCAAATAAATGAATGAAATCTTTAAAAAAAAAAAAAATTCTTCCCCTGAACCACCTGAGAATAAGCTGCTGACCTGATGACTCATTCCCCTCTAAAACATGACTGAACATTCCCAGAAAGACCTAACCCCCTCCACTTCATCTCAATACAGCCATTAACATTGGGAAATTGACATTTATGCATTACCATCTCATCCCACACCTCACTGAAGTTTCAACAAAAGTCCTGAAGATGTACTTTTCAGCCAAAGGTTGCAGTTCACAATTACATGTTGCCCTCAGCTACCATGTTCCTTCTATCCTCCTTCACTCTGGCTCAGCTTTAGTCATTCTTGACTCTTATGACCAGTAGAGATCCAGTATGATTATGTTGTAATATAATTTGATTTGGAGGAGACCTTTCACAAATATATCACAGAGGTGATATTGTATTCTTCTCATTGCATCCTATTAGATGGCCCATAATTTTTATTCCTCTCTTTGCTGATGGTTTTTACTTTGATCATTTGTTTAAAGAGGTGTCTGCCAGGCTTCTCCATGATAAAGTCGTTCTTTTTCTCTTTTCATGAATACTACTTTATGAGATTTGTGGGAACTTACTTTAAAACTAGGTAGTATTTTGTGCCTCATCAAACTTTCAATTGATTCATTTAATTAATTTATATCGGTATGTACTCATGAATACCTGTATTATTCAATGGGCATTATTCAGTGGATACTAATGGACTTGTATCCATTAGTATCCATACAAGTCCATTAGTATTATTATTTTATTATTATTTTATTATTATTATTTATGTTGATGCTCAATTTGTCCTAGACTTGTTCAGTGGGAGCCCTCTGGCTTTTGTATCCTTTTGACATGGCCCATCATTCTTTGAGCACTTCATTGCTCTCTGGCACAAGAGGTTCAGGGCTTGTCTTATACTTTCTCCTCCCTATTCATAAAATCAGCCATTTCTCCAGTTACCATTAAAGAATGGTATGTAGATCAAGATCAAGATCTGACTCATCACTATTGGGAAATCACTGCTCCACCTCAGTGGGCAGAGCTAATACGTGCATGTATATTCATACACACACATATATGTAAATATATGTGACATGTATGCATTATACATACATTTACACATATACACATTTATATCTGTTTATATATAGACATGAAAGACAGATCATGACAGATCTGAAGTCATGAATTTATGCCAGTGCTGTCAATTGCAATCCAACACCACAAGCTTCACTCTAGTTTTCCATTTCCTTCTTCTCTAGGGAAAAACCTGGATCCTATTATCCTTACCAGCTTTACTTATTTGCTCAGTCTCCCTGTATGCGACTAATATCCCATTGTCACTGCCACTCTTGACCTCAAAGAAATGTCTTCCACACCCACTCAGGCTCCGACATCCTCCATGGCTTGCTCTTCTGCATGCTTAACCCACACCCTCTGATCAGGATCAGACACCACAATGTTGGGCTGCCCCTGTGTAGAAGCCCCGGTCACTCTGCTCAGCTCAGAGGCTGAGATCTAGGGCCCCCTGCCCTCTGCAGGAGGATCCACCTCACTGTGCTCAGGCTCTAGGAATCCACATGGGGCCATGCCCCTACCTGGATGCCCTCCGGACCTGGCTCAGCCTCTAATTCCCTGATCTGGGACCCTCTGGCTTCCTCCAACAAGGGAGGTTGCCTCCCTGCATTCCCCAACCTAATGACTATAGGACCCATTCCCAGAAGAAAGAGAAGGAGATGGAGACAAGAGGTGGAGACAAAAGAACAGGAAGAGGAAGAGCCAGTTGAACTAATTCTTAACAAATGTGTATGTCATTTTAAATGTGATGATAATTTAGGGTCACAATTTTGATGCATCAGCTATAACTCCATTCAAGATAAGGTTATAGTTAATCTGTTCCTTTAAACAATGTAAATGACTTGAAACTGCTAAAACACTGCTGAAGTTTTCTGCTTACAAACACAATGTCAAGAGTGTGTGGGTGCTTGAATAATATTTGTTCTCACAAATATTTATTGCTAGGCAGTGGCTGTGTATGTACGGGGAGTGTCTCTAGAAAGGAAGGTGGTTGATCAAGAGAATATATAAGCAATGTCCTCCAGAAGCTTACAACGATCATTTCAAATGATTCCCCTGCAAACACATTTTTCAGAAGATAAACACGACCCCTTCCCTCAATTTGTTCTACTTAAGAGTAATAATAATGATGTTTAAATATTCCCATTTACCTAATACTTGCTTTTATAAAGTTACTTTACCTTTCTTACGTAATTGAAACAGCTTAAAAGAATTAAGGTGAGTCCCTGTGCCTAACTTTATTCGAGAACTCCAAGTGTGTTAGTATGCCCTTCAGCTCCAACCAAGCATTTAGATCCATACTGCGTGCTCTGTCAGTGGTTCCAAACTTTCATAGACATACCCAGTTGTCTCAGAGAGACAACTGTGTATTGTGTTTAAGAAAACAGGCATTGGAGGGCGCCTGGGTGGCTCAGTTGGTTGAGCGACTGCCTTTGGCTCAGGTCATGATCCTGGAGTCCGGGGGTCGAGTCCCACATCGGGCTCCCTGCTCAGCAGGGAGGAGTCTGCTCCCTCTGACCCTCTTCCCTCTCGTGCTTTCTATCTCTCATTCTCTCTCTCTCTCTCAAATAAATAAATAAAATCTTTAAAAAAAAAAAAAAAAAATAAAAAGGTGACACTGTTAGGGGGCACCTGGCTGTCTCAGTCTGTAGAGCAAACAACCCTTGATCTCAGGGTCATGAGTTCAAGCCCCATATTGGGCTAAGAGCTTACTTAAAAATATAAAAAAATAAAGAAAACAAGCACTGGAGTCAGACTGAACAATGCTAAGTTTCTGGCTGTACTACTTAAATAATTATATATAATTGGGCAATTATTTAATATCCCTAAATTCCAATGTCCTCATCTGAAAGTCAGGGACAATAAAAGCTAACCCATAGGGTTATATACTGCACAGTGCAATGCCTGGCACATAGTTGTTATATAGTAAAGATGATAAATTATAACATTTTTATTAAAATTTGACCCAAAGTCTTAGGCTTATAGAACACTTATTTCCAAGTAGTTCAAAGCACCTAGATAAAAAATACCCAGTAAACTTCAGAATAGCCTTTAGCAAAGAGGAAACTGAATCTCACAGAGCTCCATACAGTCTATAAAATGAGATAAGGTTGTTTCACAATTTTTAATTCTGCCTTAAAATGAGATGCTAACTTCATAACTTTCATACAGCACATCATTCTACAATTTTAACTTACGTGGAGCTAAAAGGCCCGACTCACACTGTATACACACACAGACACTTGCCATACCTACATACATCATCCCATTTATTTACAACTTTGCTAATTTATTCCACTTTCATTTCTTCCCTACTTTTTTCTTTAGAAGTCTGCTCTGAATGTCAGTTTAAACCTGACTCCCAGCTACCAACAGTGTAAATATTCACACAATGTGCACTCTCTAGGGCATTATAATTTGAAAGCAGTGGTATTCAACCTGCTTAGGTTCACGTGACTAAAATCACACAGGAGCTTTCAAAACACCTGATGTTCAGGCTAAATCCCTGGCCAAGTGAATCAAAAATTTTGAGGGCAGGATCCATGTTAAAGCTCCCAGATAATTCCAACATAGAACCAACTGGAGAACCTCAGTTCTAGAACTCACCCAGAATGCAATGGTCCTCAGAGCTGCAACAGTCTTAAGTGAAAGAGGAGTAAATCTAGAAATAGCCCCAAGTCCTTGACCATTCTTTGTAAGTAGTATGAATGAAAAAGAGGTATGTGGCTAGGAAGTGGGACAAGGAAATTTAGGAACTGAAGCAACCCAAAATGTTTTGTCCAAGATGTTAACAACTAGGCCTTTTAAAGGACAGTTGTAAAAACTGAATAATCCTATCCTTTGGATTATCTTACCATCTTTATGTTACAAAAACTCTACATGCTATAAGTTCTTAAGAGTGAATTCCTATGAAAGTTTGAAGATCTTGTGTAGAATATCTTAATTTTAGTTGCTGATAGGCACTATTTGCTAACCTGATTGGCAGTGTACTGTCCTAATTAGCCGCTAACACGCTGAATATGTTAACACAAAAACCTGCATTAGAAAGTAGGTTGGATGAGATACTTTCAACATAAAAGGTAATTATAAACAGGTGAAAATAAAATGGCAAATTTGGTGTTGGTTTTAGTAATGTTTTGCACATAGATCCCTCTTTCAAAGTTTCTTAAACAGGCAAAACAATAACCACAAAAAAATCGCTTTCAAAGACCATAGTGTAAAAGAAGATAGATACACACACACACACACACACACACACTATCCAATGAGTTGTGGTTTGCTGTTATTTCAACTCAGTTGTAAAAAACATCCTCAAAGCAAAGCCAACCCACCTGCAAGGCCGGGAGGTGATATTTAAACCTACTATCAATTCAAGCGAAGGGACCTGGCGTTGGGGAATGTGGCTTTCCGAAATCCTGCCGCTTTTGCGGAAACCGAGTCGCTACCTTGCTCCCGCCCGCACCCTCACACCCTGCCGCCCTCGTTCTTGGAACACCCAGACACTGCCCTACTACCAACGCCCCCGACTCGCGGGGCGCTCTTGGTTCCAGATTCCATCCCTGTCCGCTCCAGTCTCCTCGTCCAGCTGAGACAACCCAAGCCTGGCCAATGGGAGGAGGCGGCCGCCGCTGGCCACCCGCCGTCGCCAGCCTCCCCTCGCCTCTCCCCACCAACCCTGCCCCGGCGCGTCGGCCAAGCCCTCAGCCTACGGGGGCCCAGCCTCGCGCGTCCCTTCCTGCGCACGCCCCCCCCACCCCCAAGTCGGCCCTGCAGGCTTCGCACCTGTGGTATTGCCGTCCGCCCAGCTTCGGCGCACCGCCGCGAGGAGGCACAGGAGGAGCAGCGGTAGCTGCAGCGGCGGCGGCCCTCGGAGCCCCCGCAGGCCAGGCAGGGCGCGCATGGCGCTGGCGGGTCAGCCGCGCTCCTCGCGCACAGCCGTAGGTGGCCGAAGTTTCTGCGCACACTCGCGGGTGGCCCGGCACCTGCTGCCTGTCCCGGGGGCGGGACACGCGACAGAGGGCAGAGTGGGAGGGGCCCGGCTGCCCTGCCCTCCTCCCCTGAGACGCTCTCACGGCGCCTGAAGCCGACCCAGGACTGCGCCAAGTCCTCCATCAATTATGCAGCAGGCTGACCGCAGCGGGCGCGCAGGGATGTGCAGTAGCCACCTCCGCGCCGCATCCTCTCCTGCTTCCGCCCTCCCGGCTCTAGCAGGTCTAGGCGGGAGCTTGCTAAAGACGCGGCAGGTGATGTCTAGCTCGTCTCCTGCAGGAGAGCTTGAAACTCCTAATGTGTGTGCATATATATGTATGTCTGCAGACTATCCTTTGCAGTTCGTCTGAGGCAGGGTTCATTTATTCACTCTGATGGGACAGATGAGAGGATGGAGAACACTTTTCCGCCCCCACCCCCCACCCGGGACATCCCGGGGTTACTAAGGAGATTTATGCTTGCGCAGGTGGAAGGTGCTATCCAGCTGCCCTGCGTCCTACACGGCTCTTTCTCCGCTCTCCGTACCAAACGCACACACCTTCCCCTCAAGTCTCTGAAGGCTTAACCGGTTCTCTCTAGATTAAGGCTTCGGAGTCCCAAGGCCCCACAGGGTCTGTTTTTCTTTTCCTATTGTTTGCTTAGCCTCACAGCTTTTAAGGAGCCACCTAGAGGTCAAGAAGCAAAAACTACCCAAAGTAGATAACTGTGTAAACGACACAAGCCTGTTGACCTTCAAACTAGAAACACTGTTTAAAATAATGCTGTCTCCTACCACGCAAGGCTGTAGCTTGGAATTTTCAGGGCTCCCGACCAAATAAAACCAAAAGCTAGAAGAGAGGGGAGGAGAAATCTATGTTCTAACATAAAAGAGCAGTAAGATCTGATGATTCTCCAGGGTGTTGTAACACATTAAAAGATTTTTTTAAAGCATTTCTCCTAAGTCTTGTACCCTCTCCCTTTGTTTTTAGAATGCCAGGTTTGATATTCATAAATTCATTACATATCAGTGTCAAAAAAAAAAAAAAAAGCCTGAGTGGCTCATTTTGGTTAAGCAGCTGCCTTCTGCTCAGGTCATGATCCCGCGGTCCTAGGATCCAGCCCTGCGTAGGACTCTCTGCTTAACAGGGGAGTCTGTTTCTCCCTCTTCCTCTGTCCCCTCCCCTTGCCCCCCCCCATCCCCTGCTTGTGCTCTCTCTCACTCTCTTTTCAAATAAACAAATAAAATCTTAAAAAGAAAAAAAATTGCTGCCCTTCATCCTGTCTCAGGATTAACTACAATCATTTGTCTGTACCTTCTGAGTTTTAACAGTGAGCACTTCTCCAAACAAGCTGAACACTAAGTGACCTTCCCCAGTTGGTCCTATAAGCTCAGATTCACTTTACTTCAAATAAGGTGACCTTATTTAAAGAAAAATCATCTTCTCAGTTGAATCAATGTGTTCATAAATTAGGGAAAAGTGACTTGCCCAAGCTGAGGCTAATTCCCACTGTCGCTTTTGTTGTTGCAGCAAAATAAATTGAGAAAGAAATATAATTCTTGGGGTGCTAAGCATTTTGAACATGTTCTCCCCATTGTTAACTGTTTTATTTTTAGATATTTAATATTAATATTTTTGTCCTTATCCCAACTTCACTTCATTGTTTCAAATGTTCTATATTCTTTAAAACCAGCTTATATGATACCTTCCTTGTATGGCTTTTTCTGACCTTTCTAGTCCAAATTGAACTTTCCTTGCATGATGAGTTAAATATGGCCACAAATACACTGATACTGTCCTTATCATGAGGGGCAAGAGGGTCCTGTGGCTCCTCTCTTCAAGCTGGGTGGTCTCTGTGACCTCTCTGACCTATCGGGTATTGCAACAGTAACATTGTGTAAGTTTCCTGAACCAAACCACAAGAGCATCCATTTCCTTCCTCCTTGTTCTTACAAGACAGCTGCCAGGAAAGAAGTATGACTACCTTGAGATGAACGTGCCGTGAGAAACCCAAACCACATAGAGAGACAGAAACAGTGAGATGACACGCGGAGAGGCCAAAGAGCAGCAAGGTGCTAGATTTGTGAGTCTCTTCTTGGAGCCTCAGGCAAGGCTGGGTACCATGCAGCGATCCCAGATCCCAGCTGATACTCCTTGGAGAATTGTCCAGCTGAGCCCTGCCTGAACTCCTGGCCCACACAAATGAGAGATAACACTTGTTTTAAGCCACTAAATTTTAGGGTAGCTTGTGTCACCATACTATATTATCCAAACATGTCCCTCTGAACTCATACTGTCCCTAGGATTATTTGACAATTAATAATTTATAGCCTTGTAACTTGATCTTCATTGTTGGCTTCAAGTTACATTTAAATGTTTTTATTAGTATTCAGCTTGTTATGTGATTATATCTTCTTTCCCAACCCCATTACAACTCTTTTCAGTACCTCAAAATAGCTCTAAAAGTCTTTGTATTTCCTGCAGTATCTTTAAAAAAAAATAGTACTTCTTGTGTGCTCTGTTTTTTACTTATTAGAGAATCAGTTAGGAAATACATTTTTTCTTTTTTTCCCTAAAACTTGTGTTTGTAGAATAATGCTATAAAATCTTTTATTTTTTTTCTTTTAAGATACAAGGTGTTGTTGAGTGAAAAGTGTGTGACAGGGTACTAGAAAGGTGTGAAAATGAGAATGGGAATGTGGATGTGGGTTATCTCTTACAGACGGCAATATTTAATTTTAAAAAATTATTATTGAAGAAAACATTATATCAAACAGTAATAAATGAGAGGGCCTGTTTCCCCATATCAATGCCAACAAATTAAAATATCTATCTTTGTCAATCTGACAGTTGACAAACAGCATGCATTTACAGTTTAACTTATACTTGTTTTATTGTAAGTTGGGGTGAGCATATATGTGAAAATGTCATGTCCAAATGTTGCAAACAACAAAATCCAGTCTGGCTAGCTTAAGCAGGAAAATAAGCACTTTAAAGTTATTAGGTACTACTTGGGATTGTTGAAAAAACAGACTCAAGGATAAACTTTCAGGAACACCAGGATTCCTGCAGTAAACTCACCAAATATAGATACCACTGATGCCTCCACCATCAAGCAGGAGATGCCAGGGCCTTGATGCCCTGCGTCCGCTACTGCCTCCATCCCTGGGGCCACCTATGGGTCAGCAACCTGTCCTTGTAATCCCTGCTGCCACCTTCTCCAGCCAAATGGGAGTGCTGCTCCTCTGCTCTCCGAATCAGTCTCCCTCCCCGGGGGTGTCCAAGGCTAGAGCGCATGCCTTACTGCTAGCTTCAAGAGAGGCTCAGTGTTTGAGTTCTGACCTCGAAGGGAGAAGGCAGGATTCGTAATGTGAAAATCTCCCCAAATATCGAAGGGTTTTCAAAATATGGCAAGAATATCCACTCCAGTCCTCCCCACTATGACAGGCAACCTTTCTTCATACTTATTCTTTAAAACAAAAGCAGATGCTCCCCAACTTAATACACCATGTACTCACTTCAAATGCAGGCACCCCATTCAACACAGAAAGAGACCCATCTCATTAGGAGGGGAAGTTGGATCCCTGCCTGGTACAGATGCACATTCTAAGGCTCTGGGACAGAAACTAGTAGTATGTTCATTTAACATATGTTTTTGTAAAATTTGCTAAAGTAAACATTTTAACTGGAATTATTTAATATGACCATTTATTTCTACTCCAACTGCTCTTGCATCTCACTTTCCCACATGTCAGATGGTATGCTGTGAATGTTTTTGGGGATCCTGCTAAGAGGAAGTTGAGTTAAGGATACATTTCATACGGATTTATTATAATATAGTTCTGTGTTTTGCAGTCCCTTTGGTATAGGGCCAAGTTATTGCTATAGCCACCCAGTCAGAAATGGCTTAAAAGGTCTACAGACTTTTTGCTCTGTGACTCAACTAGCCCTGTGACTGAATCGACTCTCCGGACATCCTGACATAAAGGTGAAGAATCAGAGACCAGATCCTGATACCCTATGGTCACTTGGCACCAGAAATAAGTTGACAGGGAGGGAAAAAGGATGCCATTGCCAGATCAAAGGTGTAATAGACTGAATTGTATCCCCCGCACCCACCCAATGCATATATTGAAGCTCTAACCCTCAGTAGCTTGGATTGTAACTGTATTTGGAGATAAGCCTGTAAAGAGGTAATTAAGGTTAAATGAGGTCATATGGGTAGGCACAGGATCTAATATGACTACTCTTGGACCTAATCCAATATGTACCCTTATAAGAAGAAGAGGGGCACCTGGGTATCTCAGTTGGTTAAGTATCCGACTCTTGAACTCAACTCAGGTCTTGATATCAGGGTCATGAGTTCAAGCCCCGTGTTGGGCTCCATGCTGGGCATGGAGCCTACATTTAAAAAAAAAAAAAAAAGAGGAAGAGACACCAAAGGAAGCACGCGCATGCACGCGCGTACACACACACACACACACACAGAAAAGGCCATGTGAGGTCAGAAGCCTCAGGAGAATCCAAACCTGCTTCCGTCATTTGTCACTGTCTATTTAGTTTTTGGTAATAACTTTTCCCAGTATGCCTTTTGTCTTGTGACATTATCACCAAAAATTATTTGTTATGTAGTCAAATTAACCAGTCTTTTTAAAAAATGGCTTTTGTCTGTTTAAAAAGTCTTTTTTTAAAAAGCCTTCATTGTTGGGGCACCTGGGTGGCTTAGTCGTTCAGCGTCTGCCTTCGGCTCGGGTCATGATCCCAGGGTCCTGGGATCAAGCCCCACATCGGGGTCCCTGCTCAGTGGGGAGCCTGCTTCTCCCTCTCCCACTCCCCCTGCTTGTGTTCCCTCTCTCACTGTGTCTGTCTCTGTCAAATAAATAAATAAAATCTTTTTTTAAAAAAAGCCTTCATTGTTTTAAGAAAAAAATAAAGTCATCCTATGTTTTCTTCTAGTATTTTCTGCTTTCTCTTTTTTATGTTTGAAATTTATGTTAATATAAATGTTAATCTCTACAAATGTAAAATTATTATGTAAATTTATAGTAATAATTATGACTTATCTTCCTGTCATTTTCAGTCATCTTTTATTTTAGAAAAAAATATGCAAAGAAGGCATACTTTATTTTAGGATCAACAACATGT